GTTGACTTCAGGCTTCAGAAGGAGGGTGGAGCATTAAGATCATAAAAGTGGAGAGAGAGAGAGAGAGAGAGAGAGGGAACAGAAGAGTGATTGGCAGATGCAAAAGAGACAGACAGACACAAAGGCAGAGAAAGAGGTAAGACGAGTGCTGTAGAAGTGGTCGGATATGACATTTAGTGGGGTCATGGTAATTTGAAGTCAGAAGTCAACTGTCGGTTTATAGGCTTTCCTTGTCGCATGAGTATATGTTGCCCAGGACACAAATCGTGGAAGTAAGTCTATCGCACACCCATTATGGGATTCGTGGAGCTGCTCACTTTTACAGACGTTTGTAAGAGCAAAACTGTGCAGTTTCAAAGTCCAAAGTTCAGGATCGGGAACCTAGTTTTCTGACAGATCGCATACATCTGCTGTATTCCAAGTGGAATGACCAGCATATTGAATTTCAAGGCTAGCTTTTGATAACCCAAGGTATTCTAATATTATTTCAAATTGGAAGTAGAGCTATTCAAGTGCATACGACAGTGTAAATTCACTTTGTATTATTGTGTTGAACCTTGCCCCCAAGTAAACTATCTTTCGTCCACTGAGCATTCTAATTCTTCAGTTCCTCAGTTCTACATCCACTTCAACTTGTAATGGTCATCTTCTGGGTTATATTCAAAGACGAGTAATCAAATCTCCCTCTGTATTTTAAGAAATGACATTGAATTTGCAAACTTGGGGTTTGAAAAGTACTGTCGTCGCCAGTTTCTCTCTCTCTCTCTACGCTTGCTATAACATCTCATTAGGTGGATATTGTTCACGGACTTTCAATTAGGAGTCAATTAGGAATCATTATTCTGTCTCCCATCTCGACTTTTTGTCACTTTGATGTCCCTTCCCCTCTTCATGAAGCCCCGAAGTCAGCTCCAGTGCTAATGATAACTATTAAAACGCCTGCCATTTGATATAAATAAATAAATAAATCATTGATTGCAGGTTGTACGCTCTTCATTTCACCTCAGGCGAAAATGTTATTTCCGTGTAGAGATTTATGAGGGAATCCATGATTTCCCGGGCTTCTGATGATTGGCTATTTGTATGTTCTTCTCAGGTGCGCTGTCATGAGCTCAATACACGGGGACACACTTACATTTACATTAAATCAGTGGTTTGGATAAAAAAATATATTTCTTTAACTAAAAAATTTATCATATCGGCGGGAGGGGGGGGAGGTTGAATGTGAG